AAGAGGCAATCTTAAATAAATACGTAATTTGAGGTTGGAGTTTAACTTTTCCGCCTGCCAGTTTTCCATCTTTTTCTAATTAAAAGTAGGTAGAACAGGGAACCTACAGGATATCAAGCACGAGTGATACTGCAGCCCATGATTGTATGAATGCACCATCCTGTCTACAACTTGTACCTTTGATGTCATTATTTATTATGTTCATGCTTTATTTATTCTACAAGCTCATGGCAATTTATAAAACAATTTAAAAAGTGCTTCCTTAAAATTCAAAAACATTGTTGGTAAGAATAATTAATTGCTTTTTAAAAAAAACATAGCTAACCAAAGTTTTAACAACAAAAGGGTAAATTATAGTAATTGTGATAATGAAAAATAAAAATTCAATTTCATGACTTCCAGAGTATTAAAAGACATGGAGTAAAAAGTTAAACAGCTGGAACAGTGATTGAGAAACAGTGCCTTCTGGCCTTGGTTGCCTATATTTGTTAAAATGGGATATTTTATCCCTTTTTAAAATTTATATTTTTTGGTAAACTCATGGCAGTAATGACCCACAATGTAATCTAGGAAGAGCATACTGGATAACTAATACAGACAGAAGAAGTTGATTCTGTCAGTATCTAGGTACCAAATCATATAGGGCTTTCATGATTAAAAGTGATAGTTTGAACAGTAACTGGAAATCTATTAAGGGTACCTAACAGGCAAATAACATCTGCCAAGAATCAGGTTACTGCTCTCAGAATAGTAAAACATTCAGGGGTCCTTAGTGCCCTTTGAACGTGGTTTTCTTCTTGCAAATATTTCATCACCCATACTAGGTAGCATCATCAGTTCTGGTAGGGAGTGAGGTTTGAGCTACAAATATTCTTCTCTATTGATATAAAAATGTTCATTCACCTAGCAAATAAATCTCTTAAGCTTTTAAACACAGTCTGGTTTGACTTCCTTCTATCAACAAATAAAAGCAAATGGTGTTAATAGTGTTATTTAAAGGACACTGAACTTGAAAGAAGAGTATGGAGTTGGACTCATTTTTCTCAAGAAGCTGTCTCACGTGCCCAGAGATGCTAAATGTTGTACATAAGAAAGGAAAGGATAAATCTGTGGAATTCTATAATTACAACAGGAGATATACAAAGCACATTCATTGTATATCTCCTGTACCAGGCCTGCACCTAATTTTCTGAAGTGGAAAATTTCAGCCAGATCATTCTTTTTTAAAATATGGCACATATTAAAGAATAAGGCCGCAGCAGCAGCAAAAAATACAAATAAAATAAAAATACAATTTGTGAAAGGTGAGGACAGGAATTCTGACTGGATGGTCATGTGTCTTACTTTATAAAGAGCAATCATTTGTCCAGTTCCAATTTAATAAGCCAGAATCTAAAAAGATAAAGAGAGCAGCAAAAAACTGAAAAGTTACTCATCCACAAGCACCTTGCCTAGAAACTAAGAAGATACACAGAGCTCTGACTCTTCCTCTTTATTAATTTTGCAATAGGGAAGGAAGGAAGGAAGGAAGGAAGGAAGGAAGGAAGGAAGGAAGGAAGGAAGGAAGGGTTTTAGTTACATCAAAAGATATATAGTCTGGCTGCAAATATCTGTTTCTTGTCCTCTAAATCAATAGATTGCCATGAAGCTACCAGTTAGTCACCATCAACACTAGTGCAGATAAGGTAACTATGATAACTTTACAACTTTCATGTAAGTTTTAAGGTAACTGTCCTATCTGACCAAACTGGGTTTTGTACATCGGAGACAAAAGTAAACTTTTCCTGCAAAACCAGCACTGTAATACACTTTGCCAACTAGTCAAATGTTAAGGTGGACAACTATACAAGTTTTATAAATAAATATGGTGTTGGAGGAACAAAATATAGATTCCCATCCTAATACGTCTTGTTGATATAAGTCAAATAAAAATCCTGCGCTTTTAAATTGCATTGCCAATATTTCAAAGTTCTACGGGCAAAGGGCAAATCTGAAATGCTACCCATTTTTACAAACTGTTAATCACTATGTATGTATTTATAGCTTAACTTTATATCTAGCTGCAACAGCTGTCCCAAACTCAGGTAAACAGTCAGCTAACCAGCAGCATGGGGAAAGGTGTTGTCAAAAGGTCAAGTTAGTGTTTCTGGTAGTGTGACTGATATTCTATTCTTTTTGTAGGTGCAATTTTATTGAAGAACATATAAAAAGAAACAGGACTGTTGCAACCATCAACTTTTTTTAAAATCTTCCCTATAGATGCTGTTCTATCTGACACATTTCTTTTTTGCAAATGTTTTACCTCCTTTGCTTGTTTGCCTAATTATTTTTATGTGTTGGCTATTCAAGAGCTAGCACCAAAGCTACTAAAATAGTCTTACTTTTCAATAAGGATTCATTTTAAACTTTACTGTGGAAACTACTAGATAAAATGATCAGCTGTAACCTAAGTTAAGTCTTATGCTATGAAATATATAAAATGTAATATGAATAAAGTGTGATTCATTGTATATCTAGATCAGTATATCCGAAACTTTCTGCTGTTCAGAACTACTAGATAAATATTTGGAAAATGCAGGAAACGCCAAATTAAACACACACCCCTACATTTTTGTCTTTAAAAGCTCAGGAGTTCACATTTTTTAAGCAAGTAATGTAGAAATTATAGTTGCATTTGTGTATTCCTTCCCATGTATTTTAAGAGGATTTTTAAACTCTTAAATTTTAAAACTAATGCTTTACTAAACATTAATTCAAAATTAAACATTAAGTATCCCATGCCATTGTAGCAACTCATGCTTACTGGACAACAATGTTCTTCAATAGAAATGTATTGAGCATTAGAGGACTAAGAAGAACTTCACTAAAATCCTGTTTTGATGTTAACTATTGGGTTTGTAATTGATCCTTTTTGTTACTTGCATGATGAGACTTGAGTCAGTAACTACATTCAGTTCCTGTTCACTATTATCAATTTTCTGAATTGAAGTACTCACTATGTCTGTATTATCCACATATGCACTTTCATAAACAAGTTTTTGGCCAGTGATTGTAAATCAGCTGATGATCAAAATGCAGAGAAGTAGAATTGAGTCTTAGCAGGTTCTGAATATTTTAATGGTAGCAAATATCATACAGTTGTGGGGGACCAATTAATGAACCTCCACTGATGTTCCACAGACCATTGATTAAGTTAGATAATATCTGACATGCCCACTAAAGTCAAGTTTGACTCCAGGTAATTACATGCATATGTAAATACTATGATCTTTGCAAAATACATGTTGCCATTATGTTCTTCTAGACTTCCGCCCCACTCCCCTCAAATCTTCCTGTTGCCTTGGGATGTTCTAGTGGTCTCCCCTCTAGGTTCATTCCAGAACCAGCAAAGACTTAAATTTATCCAGATCAGCTAAAGTTGATTAGATACTGTAACATCTATTTCCCTTTTTTAAAAAGAAGATGTCATTATAAAACCAGGTTATATAAATTGTAAGATTTATAGGAGAGGGGAAAAAAGAAATGAATTGTGTTTGGGCACCTCCTCAACTTCCATCAAACTTCAAAAGTCTGATTAAACCAGTAAGTTCTGTAAAGTGAAGACAGAATCTGTGGGCAGGAAGAATATCCATAGAAGTTAACATTTCAGCTATCCCACATGAAGTTTGGAGACTAGGGAAGAAGGAAGCCCGTTATTCTCCTATGTAAATGAATGGTCCAGAACAGTGGGCTTGCCACAAACTAAACTCCAGTACATGACCAAAGGAAGATTTATCCTTTAAAATGTACTATTCACCACAGCAAAGTATTATAAACTCTGCTCATTCTGTTTTCAGCAGCTTAGTTTAGATGTGAAGCTATAGCAATAAACTGAGGCAGGGTGTAACTGAGGTATCAGTCTTACACGTCCAGGATTAATGATCTACTACAGGTAACTAGAAAGTGGTAATGAGAGTGTTCTTTTTTCTGTCTCTCTCTTTCTCTTACACACACACACACATTTCAGCTTTCTGTACACCAGGTGGCTTTGCACAGAAGTATATTCCCAGGTTGGTCCTTGGGACCTTCTGTTTTGCTTCACTTACCTTGCGATTGCAGGCCAAAGAGCTCCCCCTCCCCCTCCCCACCCCCAACATTAAAATAAACAATAAAAAATCCCCAATGTTACAGGGCAGCTAATAATAGAAGCTCAGCTAATCCGGAAGGAAGCTGAGGGAGACAGTCAGAGGTCACTGCCATTCTGAATCTACGTCAAATAATATATTTTTTACAACATCCATTACAACTGACGCTTCTCTGTCCCCTCTATGTTTCTGGAGTCTGTTGGCATTCAGATGTATCCCATCTTTACCCTCTTTATATGGTGGTGCAATTAAAATTTAATGAATAGGAAAGCAAAACAAAGCAATAACTAGGAGCATGTACACATAGACACATTCGTAGTCAGTGCAGAAGGAAAGGCTGAAATCATGCTTTTCATAGACAACATACACAGGCTATCCACATGTTTAACCCTTTTCCTCAAATCTTTTCTCTCCCCCCCTTCTTTTATTTTTTCTTTCTTTCTTTTTTGCACAGCATTGCATCTGTCTCCCTCTCCCCTGTCAAGTGTACCCCAACGGAACAAAAGGCGCTAGAATTCCTTCAATGCACGGTTACAACAACAATAACAATGATGAAGATGATGGTGGTGGCGGCGATGATGATGTATGTTTTAGCCCGCCTCCAACTCTTCTTCCTCCATGTCGAAAACCAATCCCGCCGCTTTTTTATTTTATTGAAAGCTTGCGAAGGTTTTAGGGAGGCAATCAGTGCGGGAGGAGGTGGTCCCGGTTAACCCCCATGGTCTTTTTTCCAGCTCTGCCAAGCCACTTCTGGCAAGCGCCCGGAGAGTTAGAAGGCGAGTCGGGGTTTGGCGGGGAACGGGAGAGAAGGGGGGGGGGGAGGATTTGGCCAAGGTATCCGCGGGGAGGAAAGGCTAGGTGGTGGGGGGCTCTTACCTTGATGCACCGCCACGTTACAGCCATGCCCATCACAGTAGACCAGGGGGTTTTCAGCCCAGCCGCGTTCATCAGAACAGACGCAGCAGCCGCCCACCATCTCCTTCATTCTTCCATAAGTTTCTTTTTTGCTGGTTTCCCACCACCACCACTTGTTGTGTTAATGTCGGAAAAGCTGTCACCAAGCGGGTATTTACTCCTCGTCCTTTTCTTCCTTTTCTTGATTTCAGGCCTTCTCTCCTCCCACGGCCAGTCTTTATATGTAAAAGATATGCTCCCAACACAACCCACTATGAAGGGGAAGAAGGCAGAAAACTCAGACACCTCCCCTGACAAAAATGCCACATTGTTATTTGCAAAGGAGAGGTTGGCGGCATCTCTGGCGCTGAGCTCGGGCAGACGCGGTGGCTGGTCCCCAGGCACACCGACACACACTCACCGACACCCGACGCTCACGCGCGCACACACGCACACAACGTCGCCCGGGCTGCTTGCAGCCGACCGCGCGAGCAATTATGGCTCTGAAGTCTTAGGTTCGGAGGGCAACCGGGGCGCGCTGGAGCTAGGTGTGCGGGACCTTTATTCGGATTTATTGCAGCTTTTCTCTTCCCCATTTGTACCCCGCGACCCGCTTTTCTGTAACCATGCTGAAGGATTGAGGGGAGGGGGGCTGCTATTTGTTTCTTTTTCCGGCTTCCTCGAGGCAGGGAGGGAGAGACGGAGTTAGCATCTAAAGTACGGTAACACTCCCCCCCCCCCATTTCTCTTTCTTTCTCTCTTTTCCGTTTTTCCTCTCTTGTTTATTGTCCAATATGGGGCAATGGAGCGAGGAAAAAAAGAAGAAAAGAGGGGGGGGAGGAATATTACACTCGCTTAAAAACCTATTATCTAACGATTGACAGATAAAAACGTCATCAGCGCCACCTTTTGGCCACAGCAGCGAATAAACATATCTTTACGGGGGAGGAGGAAAAGAAAGAGCGCGTGTGGGCTTCAAAATCTGCCTAGTTTATATCAATCAGTTATGATTTATTGCTACAACCCATAGGGTACAACATATACATTTATTCAGTGTGCAATAAAATAGCAATTTAAAACTATATAACGCCCGGCTGATAGCCATTAAAAAAAATGAAACATGTATAAATATATAACTATCCCAAACCAGACAAAATCTGAGGTAGCTGTGTTGAATCACAAAGAAGAATCAAGGAAACTAGAGATACACTTCACTAGCACTAATCAAAATGTCTCACTTTCATTTTGGCTTATATAGTGACTGAAAATTTGGGAAATGTCTCACTTTCATTTTGGCTTATATAGTGACTGAAAATTTGGGAAAGCAAATTTGGCCAATATATTGGGGCAGGCGTTAGACAGCATCTGGACAGCTGCTTCAAAATGAAATTATGTGAGAGAAAAATGGGAGAAGGAGAACATTAATTCAATCTTATCCTGGATATGGATTCTTCTTAAGCATCTGTTTGCAGTAGAATCAAAGTAATAAGATTTGTGCAAAGAAAGGAAAGAGGTCACATGACAGCAATTTGTAAATCTTGCATGGTAAAAAGTGTCCATTTCTTACAACACTAGAATTCAGGTTGCCTGGTAAAACTAAGAAAAGATTAAGAATTGGTAAAAAGAAGGACTTATTGATGCAACATAAAGTTAAGTGAGTTTGCCAACATCACCCATGGTGTCACCCATTTCAGAAATGGTTTTAGGAAAGGACTAATTAAATTTGTGAGGGACGGAGTTATTAGTCACTTTTATGGATCTTTCCCTTCTGATGGATATCCATTGGGTTTGCAGGAAACTCTACTGTACTGCTATAAAACTCACTGCCTCCACTGCAGACTCTTAAGCTTGCCTGCGGTTCTGGCTTACTATTGAAATAGTGCTGTTCTGATTATACATGTGTAACACATGATAAGCAAAATGATTGGTTGATTACTCGTTTTACTGTTCCTCTAAGCATGTCACCAATAATCACAGTCCTGCACTAGGAACAGAGCGAGCCTGACTGTAAATTGTGTGCATCATCATTATGCTTCTTCTCATGCTGCTCCTCTTACACTTTGTTCTGAATTGAATTTAAAAAAATGATTGGCATCACAACGACAGTGGGTCACAGGCAGCGTTTTATTTAGAATTTGGCAACAAATGCCAACTTCCCAGGTACCTCTACATTTTGTTCAAAAAGCAATTGGGAGGTGTGGGGTTAGTCATATCATCTCACTATTATGTTATGCTATCTTGCCTTGAAACAGCAAGGACATAGGGTCAAAGTACTTATTGTGCTGTCAGTTGAACTATAGCACAATTTCGACTTGCTCTGAACCATTTTAATTTACCAGCTACTGATTTGTTCCATCACTCTGTAGTGCAGTCGCTCCCAAACCTTTGGGCACTTGAAACCGGTTCTGTGGAAAGAGGTTCTTCCGTGGACCAGAGGGGCATGGTGCTGCCTGCATCTCACGGATGGGGTTTTAATTTTGCTTGTTTGTGCAACCTAGTTGCTGGCATGCCGCTTGTTATCCACGGACCGTGGGTTGGGGACCCCCAATGTAGTGGATGTGAAATGGCACATATACCCTTTTGCACACAATTACATAAAGGTGGACAGAGAAGCAGAAGGAAAATCCCTGTGCTGTGCTAAAAATATAGCTCTATTGCTCTTGTGCAGATTCAAAGGAAATCAGCAAATATCTTCTGTGCTTTGTCAGGCATTATGTCAGAAGTGGAGTCAGCTGATTAAGCTTATTGGCAGTTTCAGCTGATAGTCACATCTTTAGTTCTTGGTCAACTTCAGCTGCTGTTATTCTAGCATTGCCTTGTCAAAGAACTGGGCACGTTGCATTGAGAAGGCAACATGAGAATAACAGCAGCTGGAGTTGACCAAAGATGTGACTATCAGCTGAAACTGCCAATAAGCGCTTCTCTAATCACCTGACTCCACTTCCGACATAATGCCTGATAAAGCATAGAAGATATTTCACAGCTTTTGGCTGATGTTGGATACTGTCAGTTTAATAGGAAAAATACTACTTTTAGCAATGGTACACGTAGAGACAGTTCATGAGAATCAAGTGAAGGCAACGCAGATAATAGCAGGAAAAAAAGTCATTTGTGTCAGGGTTAGAAACAAGTGAAGAAAGGCCCTATTAGTTTTGGTGGTTTGTGACAAACTCTTGTGTTCCATGGACTTACCACTATTCATGTTGGAATGAGACCCTGCATGACAGAACAAACCATAATTGGAGTTTAAACATGGTACCTTAAAGAAGCCCTTTTTGAAGCTCCCTTTTTAAAGACTGCTACAGTGGGAGTAGAGTAGAGGATGAACTGAGTGAGAAATAGATGGAGACACACAAGCTTTCTTTCTTTTGTTCAAAGTATAATATAACTTTTTTCTGCAAAGGTGCACCTTTGGGTGATGCCCTAGAAGCGTCTTTTAGAAAAGAAATAGTGGTGAGACCAGACTGGTTGACTCATGGTCAAATATTATCTTTCAATTATGGTGACCCTATCCTCAAATCTAAAGAGGGACTTGAATCAGAAGGACATGTTTGCCACTGGTTTGCATATTTATAATTTAAAGATTTAAATTAGCTTTAAAAGGTTATGGATTTGATTTTGTGAAAAATAAATTGGAAATCCTATGGTGTAGTAGGGATAAACATATTATTGCTAAATTTATAAATTGTTATTGAAATTGAACTTCGACAATGAGTATGTAAAGAATTGTATGTATGTGGACAGAAAACTTCGCATATAATATGCTTGAACAATGAAAACATGGATTAAAATTCATATTAAATTATAATTTGAAAGAAAAATTTATAATTATGTACTGTTGGTATTTAACACCAGAGAAATTGTCAAGAATGTATAAAGGTACCATCAAAATGAATGTTGGAAATGTAAATATAAAGAAGGAACTTATTACCATTTATGGTAGAAATGTGACAAAGCAAAGAAATATTGGAATAGGATTCACATCTTAATATGGAAGATTCTTAACATGAATATAAAGATAAAACGAGAGACCTTTTTTAGGCTTAATAGATAACTTGAAAAAAATATGGAACCTTGATGTTATATATGCTGACAGCAGTAACAATGCTTTATGCAGAAGGATACTTTGATTCTCACTATGGACGAGTGGCTGCAAAATTTGATGGAATTAGCAGAGATGGCTAAATTGACTGCTTTGATTAAAGAAAACAATTAATTTGTTTCTACTTGGAAACCACTTTTGGACTTGGTGCCTCAGGTAGAAAAAAATGAAATTTGATTTTGGATTTTGCTGATCAGATAGGTTTGCTATTATATATTCCCATTATCCTCATTTTTCCTTATATTTCTGTATTTTATATTTTGATAAACAAAAACATTTGAACAAAGTATAATATAACTTAATTTATTTCATGTGGCTGCTCAGTATATCTTTGACAGGTGTAGCACACAAGTTAATCATGAAGTATTTTGCTACCTTTTTCTCACCTTCCTAATTAGTTTTAAAGTGATCTATAGCAACATCATACTCTGTATCTTCGCACCTGCTATATTTTCAATTTATTTCATGTATCTGATAACAAAAGCCTTTGTTTCCATGAATCAGTGCAAGGGCTTGAGATAACACAGTGCAGGAGATATAAGGGATAGACCTAGTAAGATCCAAATCTCCAATTAGCCATAAAGCTCATTGGGTATTTACTTTCCTCTCTTGAATCATAAAGTATTGATGAAGATAAGATGAATTGTGTAAGCCATTACATTCTCTTGGAAAGAAGGAAATATCTATACTGATAAATGAACAGATAATGCACCTTGATATTATTAGATAATTTTAGATTTGGAGTTAATAGTCATAAAGGGATTGAGCTAATATTTTTAGATGAATGTTTTAAATTACATTGGTATATTCCTGGTACATTTAGTGGCCTCATTTTTTCTTCATTCTGCTAAGTAGAGCGCTCTGATTTTTAATATAAAATCTGGTTTCAACTTCTGTCTATTGTGCACATACGTGCTTTCAAGTCAAGTGTTGACTCGTGATTACTTCCTGGATTAGTCCCTGCATTCTCAAGGCAAGTTTTTTCAGAAGTGATTTGTCATTACCTGTCTCC